ACACTATAGAATTGGCCATCTTAACTTTAAAGACATCAGAGATATGAAAAGAAGAAATGTCGTTTTAGGGTTACCAAAAATTGTCATTCCAAATGAAGTGTGTGAAAAATATGTGCAGGCGAAGCAACACAAGAATATCTTCAATAAGGATGCATGAAGCAAGTTAAAGACAACTCTTGAAGTCATATACTCTGATGTATGTGGTCCTATCCAGGTGGATTCAATTGGAGGTAACAAATACCTTGTCACTTTCATAGATATTTCAGTCAAAAACTATGGACTTACCTGATCAAGAAGAAAAGTAAAGTGATAGAGGTATGTTCCAAGTTTAAATATATGGTCGAAAGACAAAGTGGTCGAAAGCTCAAGATTCTTGGGACTGATGGTGGTGGAGAGTATGTGTCAAAAGAATTCGACACGTTATATGAGAAAGAAGAGATCATGCATGAGGTGGTTCCACCTTAAACTTCACAACATAATGAGATTGCAGAAAGGAAGAATATAACCATCATGAATATGGTGAGAAGTATGTTGAAAGGTAAACATCTACCTAAAGAATTATGGGGAGAAGTTGTGTCAATTGCAACATACATACTAAACATATGTTCGACAAAAAAGCTAAAAGGAATCACGCCAGAAGAATGTTAGTCTGTTATCAAGCTTAGATTGAGTCATTTGATGATATTTGGATTTATAACACATAGACATGTGCCTGATCAGTTGAGAATAAAATTTGATGATAAATCAAGTCAAATAATCCTAATAGGATATTATTCAATTAGAGGATACAAGTTGTTCGACTCAGTGAACAAGCAAGTAGTGATCAACAGGGACATGATCATAGATGAACTTAAGGAACGAGATTGGACTGAAAATGTAAAGAAGGATTCAGTGAGAATCTTATATGGAGAACCACTAAAAGAAAAGTTCAACAAAAAGAAGTTAGAGGTAAAGCAAGCACAAACAGACCTTAAAGAATGATACATATGTCTGCAAGGTTGCAAGAATGTGTGATTACATCAGATGATGCGGTCAATGATGAAGGTTAGTTGGTACACTATGCTTTCTATGCAGATGTCGAACCAGACAATGCAACTGAAACATCGAAGGATTCAAAGTGGGTGAAAGCAATGAATGAGGAACTGAAGTCCATCAAAGTCAATAACACTTGGTAACTTGTCAAATTGCCTCAAGACAAAAAGGAAATTGATGTGAAGTGGGTATACAAGGTAAAGTTGAATCCCAAAGGAGAAGTAGCTCGACTTAAGGCAAGGCTCTCGACAAAAGGATTCAGAATCAACTTTGATGAGGGTTTTGCACATGTTGCTAGGATCAAAACAATTAGGTTGATTATTGGTATAACAAACATGAAAAATTGGTACATATGTCAGATGGATGTGAAATGTGTATTCCTGAATGACCTATTAGATGAAGAAGTTTATGTTACACAATCAGCTGGATTTGTGAAACAAGGTGGAGATAGTAAGGTATACACGTTGCATAAAGTCATGTATGGACTCAAGAAAGCTCCAAGAGTATGGAATAAGAAGATAGATAACTTTCTAAGAGAGAATGAATTTGTAAAGTGCACAACTGATCATGGAGTACGTGTAAAAAGAAGCAATAGTAAATTGTTTATACTATGTCTCAATGTCAATGATCTGTTGATGATAGGAAGTTGCAAGAAGGAGATCAAAGATTTCAAACATGACCTAAGTGAGGAGTTTGAAATGTCAAACTTGGGAAACCTTTCATATTTCACTGGCATCAAATTCTACAAGAATGGTAAAGGTTTGATGATACAACAAATAAGATATGCATGTGAAATACTCAATAGATTTGAGATGCAAGATTGCAACCCAACTTCTACTCCATCTGAGCCTAAAATGCAATTTTCGAAATAAATGATGAAGATAATGTCGATCCAACGCAGTACAAAAGACTTATTGGGTCTCTTTGATACCTTTGCTATATAAGGTCTGATCTAGCATACAATGTACGCGTGGTAAGCAGATTCATGCAAAAGTCAAAGATATCACACACAGCAGCAACAAGTAGGATACTAAGGTATTTGAAATGAACTATCAACTATAACATTTTTGTTCCCGCAACTGATGAAGGAAAAAAATGCAAATTAGTGGAATACACAGACTCAAGTTAGTGTAGTGATGCTGAGGATAAAAATCCATAACTGGTTTTGTGTTTACGCTAGGTGGTGCACTAATTGCATAGAGTTCGAGAAAATAACCAGCAGTGGCACTATCATCATGTGAAGAAGAGTACATAATTGTTTCTCTTTATGCATGTCAAGCAACATGAATGGTGAATTTGGTTGAAGAAATTACAGAGAAGAATCGTGGATCAATCACCATGAAGATCGACAACATTCCTACTATCAATCTGGCGAAAGAATCCAATAGCGCGTGGACGAAGCAAGCACATTAAAATGATGTTCCATTATCTTGGATAGCAGGTGGAAGAAGCAAAACTGAACTTGGAACACTGCAAAACTGAGAATCACATTGCAGATATCATGACGAAATGAGTGCATGTCGAAGTGTTCAAGAAATGAAGGTCTTTGATGAATATAGACATCTTATACACAATGAATTATGTGGTGTATTGAATTATAATTCCTTGTGTCAAAGCAGGTTACTCGTTAGGGACATGGAAGTTTTCGAATAGTCTAGTGTGTGTGTGTGTGTGTATGTGTCAAAACACCTAGTCGTTGAAGTGTCGAAGAGTTAGTCTCGACATGAATTTTGTCTTAAATCTAATTTTGTAGTGTTAGTAGAATTATGTATTTTGGGCTTTTATTTTTGGATTTTGCTTAAGGTGCAAACAAACTAAATCTATAAATAGGAAGTAACCCTATTATTGTAACACATGATTCACTTGAATAAAATTGTAGTTTTGAGAGCAGAGAGTTACCCTGCAGAAATTCATCTTCTTTCATATTTTGTGAAAACCTTAAACTTCTTCTTCCCCAATTCAATTTTCTTTTCTTCTTTTCATTAGCATTGTGCAGTGATACAATCTTCCAACTAAGGTTGATTAATTCATTCGAGTGAATAGTGGAAAACAAGAGAGAATTTAATCAGTTGATTAAATCTTATTCATTAAAGTTAATTCGAAATTACTCAGAATCTTGGATTTAATTCCGACATCTTAAATGAGTTTAACCTTTGATAAAACATAACAACATTCGTAAGAAATTACTCCTTTTTCATAAATAGGTATATTGACACCTACATCAGAATTTATAAAATTGATGATATTTTGTGTTTTGTAGTAAATATAAACTCTAAAATCTAATTTTTTTCATCATCCGTATCTAATTCACTGGACTGTCTAGTCTATAAATCTTTTTAAATTGATGATTCAAATTTAAAAATTCAAAACAATTATTAATTTGCAATGAATATGCATAAAAATGTCATTCACTTCTAATTAAACAATATAAATTATGACCCATACAATTATAAATAATAACACAGTCTTTTTAATAATATAGAAGTTAAATATTTAATATAATATATAACTTTTTTTTTGTTGCAAAGAGTATAATATATGTGATCTTACTTTTATCCTCTTGCTAAATCATTCTTATCTCTCTCTCCTCTTTCAATCTTTATTTTCTTTTGACTTTTAATGTAAGTTGTCTTTGTCATTTATTCGTTACTACATTATTGAGGAGAGATATGTGATTTATATTTGAGGTCGTTGCATGACTCAAAATAGAGTCAACTTTTTGATCAAGACCAAATCGATGTTGTGATATAATAATATCGTCTATCAATCGAGCATGTCAAAGTTAGTTAACCCATAAATATGATTCATAAAAGAATATGATAGTTTAGAGACCTTAAAGAATAAATTATATAAAGATAAAATAATTAAAAACGAATTATAATTTTTTTTTAAATATTAATCCATCAAATCATCGTTAGATTAATAAAAAATGTTTCATCTTTAAAAACAAACAAATAATACTTGTATTTCTCTTGTAAAAACAATTGACTTGGTCCTAATCATACTTGCGAAAAATTGACTTGGTTCTGATCATACTTGCGAAAAATTGAATATATATAGGATCATACTTGTAATGAACAAGCAAAATCTCAATATAAATAAGTGATGATCATTTTCATACTATTGTTAATGTATATGTAGTCACATCTCTCTCTTCATCTTTATTTCCTTTTGACTATATCTTTTATCAATTACACACTATTATATTATTGTCATTTATTCTTGTAGTTAGAGACATGTAATCCCTATTTGAGTATGTTATAGTACTCGAAATAGAGTCAGTTTCTTGACTCAAGGTCAAGTCGATCTTATAATACAATAACCCTTAGTATCAGACATGTTAACTAGAGTTATACCTATATAACTACGAAGAAATATAACCGTTCGCATGTAAAAACAAAAACAAAGTATTTAAAGAAGAAATATGAATTTTTTATAATACATTAATACTAATCCATCAAATCATTGTAATATTTATGTAAAATATTTAACTTTTATGAATGTAAAATATTTAACGCTCACAATAAATAACAATTAAAATCTTTAACATATTGCGCAATGCGCACACAACATTTCTCTCAAAAAGAAAAAACAAGTAAATATTGTGAAACAAGTAAAATCAAATAAGTAAAAACAATTGGCTTATTTTAAAATAATGAATCAATTAAATCGGATGAAGTCAAGCCGCAAATCCATTAATCATCAATCGACCCACCCGCTCACCTTTAGATCCAACTAAAAAACCAAATTCTGAAATCCAAAATACAACAAAAACAAGGCGGGAACCACGGCCGAAAAATTTTCGAACCACGCGCTTCCGCTTCAAAATTTCCCAAAACACCAAACTCACCGCAAAAAATTTTCAAAACAAAAACCCGCTTATGCTTTCCTTTCTTAAACCATTTTATTTTCCCTTTTTTCTCATTCAACGTTCTTTCCATTTTTCCATTTCCTTCTAGAACTTCTCCATGGCCGACCAAGATAACTCCACGCGCCGCCCTCAACGTGAAGCGAAGAAAAGAGCAGTAGCTGCACTGTGTGAACAGCGGAAAAGAAAACGCGTCGCTCTCGGTGATATAACCAACGACGTCGTTCCAGATACCGAGAAACTTGTTTCCGATTCCCACAGTCACAGTCAAAGGAAGAAGAAGAGAAACATCGCTAAATCTCCGGTACCGGAGAAATTGGAAGATCCTCAGTTATGTGAACCTTATGTTTCTGATATTCACGATTACCTTCGTAATTTGGAGGTAATTTTTTATTAATTTTAAAATTGAAATTTAATTAGGGTTTTGGTTTTCCCTAATTTGGGGCTTTTTGTGACAGTGTCGTTTTATTTGTATTGTTTAGGTTGATCCTAGTAAAAGGCCTTTGCCTGATTATATACAGAAAGTTCAGAGGGATATTAATGCGAATATGAGGGGTGTTCTTGTGGATTGGTTAGTTGAAGTTGCTGAAGAGTACAAACTTGTTTCCGATACGCTTTATTTCTCTGTTTCTTACATCGATAGGTTTCTATCATTGAATGATTTAAGTAGACAGAAGTTGCAATTGCTTGGTGTTTCTTCAATGTTGATTGCTTCGTGAGTTTCTGATTACTTTTTTGTGTTTGTATTTGTTGTTTTGATTTGTGGTTTATTTGTTGTTTGTGTTTGTTAATTGTTTGATTTGTTTTGGAAGTAGAAAATATGAAGAGATTAAGCCACCGGAAGTTGAGGATTTTTGTTACATTACTGACAATACATACTCCAAGGAAGAGGTTAATTTTGGAGTTATGATTTTTGTGTTTTTGTTTATGGTTTGTTTGGTTTTGGATCTTGCTGATTTTGGATGGTGTTGTTTTTTTTGTTTGATTGAAGGTTTTGTGTATGGAGGCTGAAATTTTGAAGTCTTTGAAATTTGAATTGGGTGGTCCTACAATAAAGACATTTCTAAGGCATGTGTGTTTTATTGATTATGTTCCTTCTTTTGTTGAATGTTTTTGTTGTTTTTGGCTAGTTGGGTAACTTTTTCTTTATTTCTTTACAGGAGATTCATCACTAAAGTTGGTCAAGAGGGTGTTGGTGTAAGTTATCTCATTCTTCAACCCATCTCTTAAAAGTTTTAGGTTATGTATGAACTGGATTTGGGTATAATGGGTGTGCCAATGTTCTTTAGTAGTATGAGATTTTTGGTTTGGTGTAGTACCTAAATCACATGATTATAGAATAGTAGCATCTAAGCTAGGGAGATAGTTTATGAAAATAAGAGATGATGCAATTGTATATATAAATAATAGGGAGGGATTTATCATTTCATTTGAAGATATAGTTAGGACCTTTGAGATTTTTGCGGATCTAAGATGGGTGTTAGACCCTCTAGATATTTTGTTCCAAAACTAACTCTTAAAAAATAATATTCCTATTTTCTCTGTAGACTAGGGAAACCCGTGCCATCTTGCTACCTCCTTTTAGGATACATTTTCTCCATGCCATCTTGCTACCTCCTTTTAGGATACATTTTCTTAATTTAGTGGCAATGTGATTTTCAAACACTAAAAAGTTTGCTATTTTGTTCGATCAAACCAGTACTAAGAAATTATATTTGCCTTGTGACATAGTGAGCCTTGAATTTAGTTGTCCCAATGCTTGGAATCAAATTTACTCATTATTACTTATTTAGTTAGGCAGACCCATAAAAATTTGGAGAATTATGGTTTGCTTAATACTTTTCTCCTTTTTGCAGGCATCTGAGTTGCAGTTTGAGTTCCTTTGCTGTTATCTCGCCGAACTCAGTTTGTTGGATTATAATTGTGTAAAGTTTTTGCCTTCTATGGTGGCTGCATCAGTTGTATTTCTAGCCCGTTTCATGCTAAACCCAAAGACTCGACCTTGGGTAATGCTTTAATTTGTATGTACATCTGTATTTGGTATTTGCTTTTGACTCGTCTATTACTAAATTACTTGTCATTTAATTACAGAACTCAGCCATCTATCAATTCACCAGTTATAAACCGGCTGATTTGAAGGAATGTGTTTTAAACATACATGACTTGTACCTTGGTAGGAAAGGGGCCACTTTGCAAGCTGTGAGAGACAAATACAAACAACATAAGGTATCTTGTCTGAAGTTTTGTAAACAATTGAGTCATTTATTTTGTTACACTTGACACATTTGATACAATCCTGATTCCTTTTGCATTGGTTGTTTTGATCACAGTTCAAATGTGTGGCAACAACACCCTCTCCTCCAGAAATATCTCTTACTTTCTTCGAATTTAGAGGAGTAGATCCTTAGAGAAGTGCGTCTTGATTTTTCTTGTTATAGCACTTCAGTTTCAACCATCAGCAGAGGCGTGTGCAAAAAGGCCTCCTGATGTGAAGATTTAGGAGATATGCTGGTGCTGATTTATGGGCTGCCATGTACTACTTTGGCATTTAATGTATCAATTGCTAATTGATGGGTTTTGCCATGAAATGTAATTCCCATTTTAAATTAGGTTTTTCTTTTTAATAGTTTAGGGATCTTTTGCAAAAATTAGTTCAAGGAGTTTTTAGCTTTTCATGTATAGAAAACTGGTATAGGTTTTCATTGCAAATTTTCCATTGTAAGAAGTCCTAGCACTGATTTGCAGAAATCAAGTTATCTTCAAAAAAAATTGTTGAATTGGCGACTCACAACAGCTTGTTTAACTTTTATTTATTTATTTAAAATTTCTTCTGTTGGGGTATATTTATTTCCAAATTATTTTTTTAAATTTAATACCTCTTTATCTCCATACGAATAATAGACAAATTTGATTGCCCAGGTTTGTTTTAAAAGAATTCAAATTAAGACCATTAGTCACCAGCTTGAGTAAAATCATAAGTAGTTCTTCCAAAAAAATCTCATGTCTTCCGTTCAAAATGTTTTAAAATGATTGATGTTTTAACAAAATAAAATTCATTTTAAAATAATTATTATTCTCATTTTCTAATATAGTAATGATCATTGTTGTTCTTTACCTTATTTTCAGTACTTTAATAAGATTGATTTTAATAATACATTTCTTAATATTACTACATTTAAAATTGGTAAAAACCTGAAACGCTAATAATTTTAAAACGGAGTGAGTGGTTACCTTTTCTTTTCAAATACACGGTGGGTATAATTGAAATAACGAAAGAGCAACATCCAATTCAACTTTTCAAATACATAGTGCGTATAACTGAAATAACGAAAGAGCAAACATCCAATTCAAAGAAATGGATAAATTAAATTCTAAATGCATACAATCAATATGGAATCCAATCAATATACATAACAACAAAACGTCAATAAATAAAATCCCAACCTATTATAAAAATGTTATCAAAGTATTTATAACCCAATCTCACCTTTATTGTTTATCTACTCGCGAATTTCAGATTGTGTGATAATTGCTAAATCCATTTTTATAATATGAATTTTTTGTTTTGTGATTGGAAAATGTACGTTAAGTTTTAATATTAACATATTAATTTTTTAAAATGGTCAATTTGATACATTTTATTGAACTGGACGGTTTTACAAAACCAGATTCGGTTCAAATGATTTTGGATAGTTCAACCCAATTTTTTCGGTTTTACTTCGGTTTTGATCCACTAACAATTTTGAAAGGTTGATCCAACCGGATCCATCTCCGGTTCTTAGCCCAACTGGTTGAACCGGCCAATTCGCTCCAATTTTTAAAACATTGCTATCAACGCAATATATATTTTATTTTAATCAACAATTACCTTTATTTGAGATGTAAAATCTTTATTTTCAAATATTATAATTTCTTTTTTTTCTTTTTTCATCTCATGGATCCCTATGCATATTTAATACAATTGAATTAATTTGGCCATTGTTTATTTTATAAATAAATAATTTATTTCAATTTACATATATATTTAAATTATTTCATTACAATTTTTATATCAAATGTCTCACTACAATTATATAGTTTTTGCTGGTTTTTCTTACCCTTGAGGTCCTTTCTCTTCCGTGTCTGGGAGTCGTTTTGGTTCTGCTTCTTTGTCTTAGTGTGGTGTTTGGGATGACGAGTGCGGAGAAATGGAAGAACATTCCTCTATCCAAGGAAAAGGAAGACGACGTTGTAGTGGCTGGAGAGGAAGTTATTGGCGAGGAAATTTTCCAAATAACTCTCGCGGGGAAGCTATGGACGAATATCAACTTCAAAACTAGAACGTTTCTGAGCACCATGTTCAGTGCTTGGAAACTCAAAAACGCAGTGGAGACCTAGGAACTTCGTAGGAATCTGTTCTTATTCCGGTTTGCGTCAAAAACAAATCTCGATTTCGTCATGAGAAGTGGATCGTGGAGTTTTGATCGGAACCTTCTGGTGTTGGCACGATTTTCTAGGGAAGAACAACCATCTGCTATCAACATGCATTATAGTGTTTTCTGGGTCCGCATCTATGAGTTGCTTCTGATGCTCAGATTTAAGGCGATGGCGAGAAAGACCTAAAACAACCATTAACGAGGGGTAAGGCGGGAAAATTTAAGTATAAGAATCTACTGGTCCATTTCAAGTACGAACGACTCCCTACCTTTTGCTTCATATGTGGATGAATAGGCAACCAACTAAAGGATTGTGAGGCCTTGGAAGATTTAAGCGAAGAGGGCTTTGAAGACATTGAAGAGAAAGATCTATCCATTGGGCTTTGGATGCGTGCTTCTCCCCTCCCCAGAACTTTCGAAGAGCCACAAAGAAGAGAGTCAAGTTCAGGAAAATGCAGCAAAAGTCATTTTGACGTTTCGTCAGGACACAACAAATGCGAAAATAACGAGAATGAGAAAGATAGAAATGCGGAAGATGAACAGAGTATTAATGTTACGAAGCAAAATGAGGAGCCAAAGAGAATCATAAGTTCGAAGTAGGGGGTTAGGGAATCCATGTGCAGTTCGATTCCTGTTGAGGCTCTTCCGAAAGATAGTGTCAATCTCTCTATCTGTTCCTACTCGTGTAACCACATCAGCGGAGCTGTTGCAGAAGACTTTGATGATCATAAGTGGTTCCTTGAGGAGAAAAATAAGTGGAAAACGTGGAGGCTTGTTAAGGAACTTGATCTTAATGGGGGAGATAGAACTCTGTGCGTTGGATATTTCAATAATATTCTGGCTGAGAACAAAAAAATTAGGTGCTAATGCAAGAACTTCTAGCCAAATATTAAGGAGTCATCAAGCATTGGATCCGTGTGATCTCGTTGATCTTGGCTTCGTGGGGTATCCTTTTACTTGGACTAATGGGCGTCAAGAGGAGGGGAACATCCAATGTCGCCTTGATAGGGGTCTTGCTTCGACTAACTTTATTTCGAGGTTCTCTCAGGTGAAGCTGTTAGGTTGGACCTGGAAGCTTCTGAAGGTGTGCAAAGGGCTAGGATGGTTCGTGTCTTTAGGTTTGAGGAAGCGTAGACAAGGTGTAACACCCCACTTTCCAACTAAAATAAAATGCGAATAAATCAATTAAAATATCAGAGTTTCTCTTCCAAAAGTGGGATATTACCTTTCACAAAAATTTCCACAAAATATTTCATTAAAAGATTTTCAAAAATAAGCAGCAGAAAAGAAATTTGTCATAACATATATACATATATGTACATCATCTCATACATCATGTTCGGCCATTTGCCCAAAATATACAAAACATCATCCATGAATCCATTGAAACGTGATACGACACGGAGTATAAACAAAATCATCAAACAGATAAATAACTCCCAAAAGCCCCGTGTTATGTATCAGAGCATCCCTACGACTCCACTCGCCACAACAACAGCAAAGAGGTGAGAAAACATGATCAAAATATAACGGTAAATATTTACATGAAATAAAGGCAGTAAATAAATACATCATCACCCCACAAATCATCATACACGACCTACTGTCCAATCATCAATCACAACATACATTAATGCACAAATGAAACTCAACACATGCATGCAGTACCGACTTAAACTCAGGATAGATCGCATACACTCCATTCGAGCAACGATCTATCCCTACCACGCTCCTCCTGAGCCCATATAACCAAATCTCAGGATAGATCGCATACACTACATCCGAGAAACGATCTATCCCTACCACGATTACTGGTGAATCGCATACACTCCATCCGAGCAACAATTCAACTCCGCAATCGCCGATAGACACTTGACCATCAACCCTCCTCAAGGGAGCAACACGATCCTACTGATCCATCATCATACAACACACAACCATCAAGCAAACAAGGTGCACACGATCCTACTGATCCATCATCATACATCGCATATATATATATATATATATATATATATATATATATATATATATATATATATATATATATATATATATATATATATATATATATATATATATATATATATATATATATATATATATATATATATATATATATATATATCACACAACCAATCAATCGAATTAATCACATTAGACATCAGCAAAACAACCCTATAACACTCAACATACACCCAACATCCTTGCACTCTCTCTGTACATCAAACAGATTACAATCATCAACATCAGATGAACACAGCTCAAATAAAATAAAATTCTGCTACGTTCACTACCTTGCTCGCAACGCGAGCTCCTAGCGAACGCTCGCTACACGTTCGCCTAGCGAACCTGCTCGCAAATCACACTTCTGAGCTACTAGAAGTGTTCGCTACCACCTCGCTAGGACTTTGCCTCGCGAATCCTTCGCCACACCACTCGCCTAGCGAACCTGCTAGCGAGTACAGAAAATGGCCACTGGAATGGCTCGCGACCTAGCTCGCCTAGCGAGCACCTAACGAATGCTCGCTACTCACTCGCCTAGCGATGAGCTAGCGAGTGTCTGCGATTCCATAAAAATCCCACTGTGCAGAATCTCAATAGCAGCTCAAAACTCAACAAATTCTCTCTAGATCAGTACCAACAACCTCAACTTAGCATTCTACACAAATTCTACCCAACTAATTCTAAAATCATCCGATAAAACATCAACTTCTGCCGATTAATCCACTTTCGGCTTAAAACCTTAATCTACTCCGAAATATCCAATTCACCCAAACAATCATCAAACATTACATGCAATGATTCCACTATGAACAAAAAAATCAGAAACTTAATCAACCACATGCAATCATCATCATGCAATTCATCATCATCAAAACCTTTGGGGTTAAGGACTCTCCAACTACCCTTATTCATGCATTACCACTTTCCCATCTATTTTCTCCCTCCTTACCTCAATAAGCAGCTTGATCGATGATAATCCGCAAATTCCAACATCTTGATCTTCTTCCTCCTCTTGCTCAAGCTTGCTTCACTTTACCGTGTCCTTGCTTCTCCTTCCTTTTGATCGTGCTTCTTTCTCTTAAATTCTTTCTAAATGCCACTCTTGCCCTTAATCCCAAATAATAAAGAAAATCTTATTTTATTGTATTCCAAATTAATTCCAATAATATAAATCCTCATAATAATAATAATAATAATAATAATAATAATAATAATAATATTAACATTACTATTAATTATTAATTTATTATCATTATCATTTATAATATATTAATATTAAAGGCCACAACTTCTCAAATAATTAAAATGAGCGTTGCACAAGGGACGAAAGATGTGAAAAAGCTATAATTCAGTGTTGGAGTGGTGGCAACAGTCAAGGGCACCAAATGATAAAGACTATTGTTGAATTCCAAAGATGTTTTAATTTGATCCATTATATTTGACATTTTTATCTCATTTGTTATGTTTTGATTGAATTTATTCTATGTTTTCATGCTATTTTTCAATTATGTGCAAATACCTTTGGTTGCTTTGATTTGTGTATTATTGTGCATGATTTATGCATAATCTATCAAAGAAGTAAGACACAAGTAATTTGATAAGGAAGCTAAAGAAAATGTGAAGTTTTAGCATGTTTGCTAGGCAAACAAACAACGAGGTTCAACAGCGAATGTTCGCTAGGCGAAATGTCAGCAAAGCCCCAGCGAACCCTCTCAATTTAGAGACAGAAAGAAAAGAGCACTAAGTTCGATGGGCGAACTTGAAGTGAATGTTCACTAGGTGAGGTTGCAGCGAAGGACCAGGGAACCACCCCAGTTTGCAGTAACTATAGAATGCTAAGTTTTCTGTGCGAACTTATAGCGAGGTAGCTCACAAGGCGAAGAATAGTTCGCTATGCAAACTCATATATATTATCTCTGGGGCAGTTTAACTATTCAGAGGTACTTCAGATGCCATAAAATGGAGTTCGCTGGGCGAACTTGGCAGATTCTTATATAAGTACTTTTCACACTTTTTGGGAAAAAAGGGAACCCATTTTTCACATAGAGACTTATATTTTTAGCATTTCTTCACCAAAAGGGAGATTTTGCAAATATAAGCTGGATTCGTATCCGAGTTTGATTCTTTGATGTAGATGCTCATTCATCTTCTCTCTTTACCTGTAAAGCAAGCTACCATGATTATGGGTAACTAACTTCTTTTGTATCAAAGGTAGAGTTAGTCTACCTTAACTTCATGTATTTATTTTGATTGACCTTTTATATGAAAAAGTGATGATTAATATATGATGAATATTTTATTTCTTAATGATCCATTCTTGTTTTATAAAAATCTAGACATAAATTTTATGGAACTTGACCTAAAATATTGATCTATCGATTTATATATTGGAGAGATCGGTCTATGGTTGATATTCATTTTGTATTAAACTTAAATCTTACTATATTGATTGTTATATGGAGAGATCTTGTAGCGAGGAATACATTATTTCTCACGACGCCGCTCTAGAGATAGACGGTGTTAAAATAATACTCGATGATATTATTCGGATCTGCCTTCACATGCAAGATTGAAAGAATACGTATAAGTTAGGGTAGATGAAAACTACTTCTGATCTATCTTGTTAATAAAAAACTTTAGAATTTATCAGTTTTGCTACTATAAAACATGACAATTTATGAACCAAAAATTTGAAAACCTTTTTCTTAGAAGTGGAAACTATTGAAAGGCAAGCATCAAGATATCAGACAATTCTTGTGGAGACGATAACAAAAACCCCCTTTAACTACAATTCGAACAAAATGGCGCTGTTTCCGGGGATTTGTTGTGATATTGCAAGCATTGCAATAGTTTACTGATTTTAAGATATTTTGTAATGTGATCTCTTACCTCTGTTATTTTTTCTTGTGTTATTTAATTTTTTTGGTTAAGTGTTCAAATTTTGTTTATGCGAGG